GTAATTAAGTGTTTTTGACGTAAAAATAAATAAATAAAACCGGAAGTTGAGTCCCATCCCTGGCTCGCGAGCGCGCGTGCGTTGTCCCACGACGCGGCGGAAGCGGTGCCACGGACGGCGAGTCACGGCAGGGGCGGGGACGTGGCGAGGCGGGACGGGGGGCGGGGACGTGGCGACGGCGCGTCGAAAGGCATCAAAAGGCCGGCTTTCGGGCTGTTGGCGCGCGACGGAACGCTCCGCTACGGCCACCGCCGGCGCCGCCACCGAAGTTTTTGAAATCGCGGCGGTTGGATATTTTACTGACCCTCTGGAATAATTAACTCACTCATCGTTGAAAAACTGTAATCTGGGTGGGGATTATCGGATATAGGGTGAATTGATATTGTGAACGAGAAATGATAGGACTCAGAGGTTTACTACAACCCGAGTCTACTGTGTGTGGTAGTGATAGGAAATGAACGATACTTCAACCCTTGTTACCCCTGAATGGAAAATTAAATATGTAAAAGAATTCAACCATCTGAGATTTACTCCAATAAATTATGGCTATGGCCAGTATTGTACTTCAGCTTCTGCGTCAATGACCCCTATATCGATCACGTTCTCGTCCAGTTTCCCTGATCCTCGAGCAAATGCTGAGATGACCCCTTGTTTTGCTTCTGGGCATAAATGTAACTTCAAATTAACTTCTCCCTATAGCACGTCACACACAGTTTTTAACTGTTTTTGACGTAAATATTTTTTAAACAGTTTATTAACCACATACCGCAACTATACTAAACAAAACAGAGACACGTACGTTATTAAGCCATTACATGCATTCGCCGTGATACCGGCTTACATAGATATACATAAAACTTAACTTGAGTAAAACAATAGTTGAAATCCTATTTACGTATGGAGTGGAGTTCCGGATTGCGAATGCAAGAAACAAAAGTAGATTTCAACTCTTGCTCGGTTGCACAGTCCCCAGATAATCGTAAAATACTTAGTGTGCACACCTCGCGTCCGTGATGTGGGAGCGCGTGCAAATGCAGTCCCCACCTCGTATCTACTTGTCACACGGTGCAACACACGATGTTGAGCCAACAGAGTGGACTCTACTGCTGGCTATATGCACACACAGTGCCTCCGGTAGCTCGACGATGAAGCCAGAGGACTACTAAAATAAAAGACTGGAGAACCATCTCGTAAGAAGAACCGAAAGGATCGGCCGAATGGTAAATGAAGTTGCAAAATTGCCTTAAATAGTAATGTTATTATCAAAGTTAAAAAGAGAGTAATAATACTTCTTGGAAATAAAATTAATGAAACTTAATATCTAAGACCAGAGAAAACACAACAATTATAAAACTTAATGTATCTAGTATTTACATAATGAATTACCGAGCCCGAGCGGTGAATTATTAATAAAATTCCTATTTCTAAATCTTAAAATCAATAATGCGCTTGCAACAACACAGCTAAATAATAAAGAGATTCAAAAGAATAGTACAAAAAATAATACAATAAATGTCATTATGTTTATAAACAATCACTGGGTTTTGATGTTAGAAAGTCTTTAAATTCACCACGTAGTTCGGCACCCCCTGAGACAAGGACAGGTACCTGGTATGCTGATATCAATGTTCCCGTGCGGCTGTCCCGTATCGTCGCTGCTGGAGCTGGAGGCGGAGACGGAGACGGTGACACGCGGCGATGCATATGTGGTGACTCACAACAAGGCTCCAGCCGATCGAATGTTCGTTCGGAGACCCCGGAACGATGACCCGGCATGTGTGCCGCCGTGGGCGAAGATTCACTAACGCGCCACAAATGTGTGAGTGAAGGCGTTAAAACGCGTGCCAGTATGCCTCACGCTGATGGGCAGCCTGTAACCCTACCTGGTTGCGAGCTGGACAGCCTTTAGCCATAATTAGACCTCTCTGAAGCTGGCTAGCCACCTATAGCGGACCACAAAAAACTATATTTATCATAATTTTAAATTAATTACGTCGGCCATTTTCCGGCGAATAAGTCCGACAAGCAATTGTTTAAAAATAGCACCAAAGTAATTACTCACAAAAATTTTAAAAATTCTTAAAATTACATTTTACCGGTGAACCCCAAAATTACTAATACATTTTGTTACAACCTCTTTATATTTATTGATTAAATGGCTCCAGAATTCATAACTGTATGCAATTGTTTATAAAGAAGCCTAAAACTTTACAGATATGTAAGGTACGATGAATAAAGCAAAAAAACTAACAGTAAAAGAACTAACCGGCGAAAATCAGAAAACTACACAAGTTCTTACACAAGAAATCCATTGATTTAATAACATTTTGTTTAAATTAATTACGCCGGCCAGTTGTTTTTAAAATCAGTCAACGTTTCGTAACTACATAATATATCAAGCAAAAATTTAAAAATTCTTTAAATTCAACTTAAGCGGCGAACCACAGAATTACAACTATCACTGTGTTATTACACCTTTATATTTATTGGATAAATGGCTCCGGAATTAATAATTGTATGAAATTGTTTATAAAGAAGCCTAAACCTTTACCCAGGATATATAGGTACCTTATATAAGACAAAAAAACCCACAGTAAATAAACTAAACGGCGAAATTCAGAAATAAAAGTGCAGTAACAAAATAATAATTGTAAGGGCCCTTCATGTATCTGTCATCTGACCGATCTGTCGAGGGCGCGGTGCTATTTAGAAATCGCCAATGCCTGCCGCGGGGGTGGCTACCGCGAGGCTTGGCAGAGGGGGCTGGTCTAAGGGCGCCTTCACACGTCGCCACAGTGGCGCGCTTCCGAAAATTGGCAAAGCTTCGTAATGTTACAACAGCAAAGTTTCCAAAACTAGTGGTTATACAGAATGGCGCAGTCTTTACTGGGTAATTTTTCAATTTCCTTTGGTCGCGGCTTGCCACATACTCTTGCCAGCTGCCATCTATCGCCGCCCATTAGTACATTTTTGACATTTTCCTAATTTTTGATTTTCTAATTGTAGAGCGGAGTTATTAGTTTAAGATTATTAAAGAACAGTAAGCCTCGTCCTAAATGGCAATTGTCTTTGAAAAATTTGGGGCTGTTTTTAAAAATACGGCGTTTAAGCGCTACTGTAAATTCGAAATTTAAAGCTCTTTTTCGCAGAAAATCTTTGAGTTTTCGAAAAACTTAATGTAAAGTCATAATAAGTACTTTAACTCACAAATACAATAGTGTTTACAAATTGCTGGAAATGTGCATATTAACGTGAGAGATCTTTCAAAAACTTTACATTTGTGTAATTGAAAAAAAACCCCACCGAAATTAAC